TGGTTTGTCTGTTTTTTCAAATTATTGCATATCTCCAAAATTTTTTCCCATATATTTATTGAGAAAAATCCACATACAAGTGGACCTGCATAGTTCAAACCCCCATGTTGTTCAAAAGTCAACTGTAATTAACAAACGGAACTTAAACCAGGTAAGTAGAGAGTTAATAACATGGGGGTAGGAGGTGAAGGGCAGTTTCAAATCCTCACAAAGAGGATTTGAAACTGAGTTCAAACAATTTGTTATATGTTTTACTGGGCTGCATTAGATTTCCCCCTTAATCCTTGAAAGGCTGAAGGAAGCTACTCTTGAGGAATAGTTGCATTATGGCCTGCTGTTGATCCTAAGATATATCTTGAATTATGATGCTCTTCCTCTTCAAGGAAGAATTTGGGTATTACAGAAACAAACTTACCAGTGCTATGCAAATATTAGAGGAAAAGCAAAATCTAAGACTTGTTTGCTTTTTGATATTTGAGAATTAAAAAATTGTGATAAAAAATATTACTCAAAGAATGATAAAGTCTTAGAGTTTGAAGAGAAGTTTATATTATCTATAATCTTAGCTTCAGGACTTTAAGTAACAGAGAACCCAAACCTCACAGGCATGTAGTTTTATTATAGATGGCTTTTCAATTAGGGAGTATCTTGTTTAGTTCTTTTTATTGGATAAAATCTTTTGTAACATCCTATTCATTTTGGATGTGAATTTTGAAACATTATGCATCGTAAGTCCAGTTGCTCTTGAATTGCCCTTTAGTTATGTTTTTCCTTTATAATCTAATCAATAACTAAATCCATGCCCTCCCCTCATTCTACACTTTTATCAGAGTGGTAATATATCCGAAACATCATCATCATCATCACCATTGTCTTCAAAATAAGCACTCATAAAACACTATGTCCCAAGCACTGGTTCAGCACTATACTTACTCCCATAAGTCTATGAAGTAGATTGTATTATTGTCCTTATTTTTCAGATGTGCAAACTGAGGAGCAGAGTAGTTAAATAACCTGCTGATGAGTGCACAGTTAGTAAGCAGTACAGCCAAATTCAAACCCAGACTTCTAGATTCAGAGTACATGCTTTCAAATACTACATCAAGTTGTTCTTAATCTTCCTTACTTAAAACATTTCAGTGGTTCCCATTACAAGATCAAGTTTAAGTTCCTCAGCATGACAAATAATGCCCTTTCCTTTCCTCTTCTAGAACTTTATCTACTATTCTCCATTATATTCTTCATATTGCCATAGAACCAAACTAGCATCACCCCCAATACAGCATGTATTTTCACATATATGTGCATTTACTACCACCTCTGTATTAGTCTGTTTTCTGTTGCTTATAACAGAATACCTGAAACTGGGTAATTTACAAAGAAAATAAAATTTATTTCTTACAGTTTTGGGGGCTGGGAAGTCCACAGTACAGGGGGTGCATATGGTGAGAGCCTTCTTACTGGTGGGGTGACTCTACAGCAACTTAGGGTATCACATGGTAAGAATAGGCTGAGCAAGAGAACTAACCTTCCTTGCTCGCCTTTTAAAGCCACCAGAACCATGCCCATTACTGCATGAAAGATTCAATCCATTCACAAGGACACAGTCCTCATAATCTTATCACCTCTTAAAGGCCCCACTTTTCAAATACCATAATTAGATTTCCAGTCCTCTTAGCACTGTGACAATGGTCAAGCTTCAATGAGTTGGGGCGGGGGAGAACATACAATCCACAGCAACCTCCTTCAGCTTGCTAACTCTTTCAAGTTATTCTTCAAGACTCATTCCAGGGATTGCCTTCTTCTGGAAACATTGCCTATTGCCTGCGTGCTCCGTTTTCCTGGTTAGATGGAATGTTCCTCCTCCATGCCCTGTACTTTTACCATTAATATTATCACAATACTGTATCATTGCACTGACCACATTTAATGGAAATTATATATACCTCAGAGGCAGGGACCATATCTTATTTTTCTATCTATATACCATTTATAACTGAATTACACTGAATAAAGTTCCAAGTTTTTGTTTTATTTGCAGATGATGATTCATGGTGATGGCTTGCAGGGTCATAAACAAAAGGAGGCACATAGGACTTCAACAACTTTCATCATTTGCAGAAACAGGAAGAACTTTCCTAGGTCCAGTAAAATCATCCAAATTTATTATAGATGAAGAATGTCATGAAAGTGTGTTAATCAGTTCAACAGTAAGGCTTCTTGAAAGTTTGGATTTAACCAGTGCAGTGGGGCAGCTTCTCAGTGAAGCAATTCGAGCACAATATAACATGTACAGAACTGGAACCAGTACTCTTTTGTTTCTTGTTGGTGCATGGAGCAGTGCTGTCGAAGAATGTCTTCATCTGGGTGTCCCCATTTCAATAATAGTGTCAGTGATGTCAGAGGGCTTGAACTCTTGCAGTGAAGAGGTAGTTTCCCTTCAAGTGCCTATCCACAACATATTTGGCCATCTGGACAACACGAAGACATTTTCTGGACTTGAAACATTTAGTGTCAGTTTGTGTCCTCTTCTACAAGTCCCTTCAGATACTGGTTTGACACAGGAAGAGCATGATCTCAAAGATGTTGCTTCTCAATCATTGACCATTTACAGTCTTTCTGGGAGACCTATTCAATCACCTCAATTCTTCAAACCTCAGGCTGAAGTTGAAACAGATAAAAGCACATCACAAACTCCAAAAAACAGTCAGCTTGCAGACACCCACTGCAGAAAGTCAATACTGATTCACAGTAGGCATTTTAATAGCACAGATAATAATCAATGGATAAGCGAACCAGATGGATTTCTAGATCATGGTACAGCTACTTCCAAAACTTATGGATGTAATGATTTGGTAGAGTTGGCAGTGGGCTTGAGTCATGGAGATCACAGCAGCATGAAATTGGTAGAGGAAGCAGTACGGCTGCAATACCAGAATGCATGTATGCAACAAGGCAATTGTACAATGCCATTTATGTTTGACATTTCAAGAATCTTCACTTGCTGTCTGCCAGGTTTACCTGAAACTTTTTCTTGTGTTTGTCCAGGATACATCACTATCGTAGCAGTATCTAGTACTACTCTGATCAAGGAATTGCAGAATCAGCCTGTCCGGGTAGTTCTCATTGAGGGTGACCTCACAGAAAATTATCGCCACCTGGGATTTAATAATTCTGCAAATATTAAAACAGTATTAGATAGCATGAAGCTCCAAGAAGACAGCTTAGAAGAACTCTGGACAAATTATGTATTACAGGTATTAACCCAGTTCAATGTGAACCTCATCCTGGTACAAGGAAATGTATCTGAACAATTAATTGAAAAATGCACACACAATAAGTTGTTGATAATTGGGTCAGTGAATGGCAGTGTGATGCAGGCTTTTGCAGAGGCTGCAGGAGCAGTACAGGTGACCTACATTACACAAGTGAATGAAGATTGTGTGGGCAATGGGGTCTATGTGACCTTCTGGAGAAGCAGTCCCTTGGATATTGTAGGTAGGAACAATGGAATGGCAATCTTGCTAAAAACAGAAGGAATTAATTTGGTTACAGCAGTGCTCAGTAGCCCAGTAACTGCACAGATGCAAACCAAAGAAGATAGGTTCTGGACTTGTGCCTATCGTTTGTATTATGCTCTAAAAGAGGAAAAGGTCTTTCTTGGAGGCGGTGCAGTGGAATTTTTGTGTGTTAGCCATCTTCAAATTCTTGCAAAGCAATCTCTGAGAAAAGAAAACCATGCCTGTTCAGAATGGCTTCATAATACTTCCTCTTGGTTGGACTCGTCACTGGCAATATACAGACCAACAGTGCTTAAATGTCTGGCAAATGGATGGCACAAATACCTTTCAACGCTCATTTATAATACTGCCAGTTACTCAACAGAATTTGAAGCAAGCACATTCATTCAACATCATCTACAAAATGCCTCAGATTCTGGCTCTCCTTCATCTTACATCTTGAATGAATACAGTAAACTAAATAATGGAATTTTTAAATCAGGCGTTTCAACTAAACAGGAGCAGATTCCAAGAGTTTATGACATTGTTACACCAAAGATAGAGGCGTGGCGCCGAGCATTGGATTTAGTACTGTTAGTACTTCAGACAGACAGTGAAGTTATTACTGGGCTTGGACACACACAGATTAACTCACAGGAACTAGAGGGTTTTTTATTTTTGTAGTGTTATTAGCTAAGTCTTTGGAAAATAATCTTTTGGAATATATCATGCTAATAATAAATTTACTAGTAGCCAAGTTATAATGCCTAAAATACCAGCTGTTACCAAGAAAAAAATAATTGATGTCAATAACTGTTCAGGATCTGAAATTTTACACTACTTATAAGCTAACAAGTTAGCCTGTTACTGTTTCATGGGATGCTACAGAATACACAAGATACCTGGGTCAGAGACAAAGGACTTTTATTATGCACAGCAAGAGCTGTATCCAGAGCTTCTCATTGGTTTTTGTCAGTACCCCATTTTTCTAAGTCCCACAGGAGCAATACAAAGAGCCAGTGATGGAAACTGCACACAGTGGATGTGGATTGTGCTGCAGGAGAGAAGCACTGAGCTTGGGATATTCACTGCTTTTCCAGTAAGCAGAAATAGTCCTGCTCTTTGTCCAAGGGAAGTTTTTACCATGTGCTTCAAAGTTGCTTAGTATAAACGCAAGCCTGGGACATGGACTGGGTAAAGATCAGTAAGTATACAGGGGTGTTCAGGGCCCATTATGGAGAGCCTCTTCCAGCAATCCACTCTTCAGCCTGATGTGTTCTTGGCCAAACTCTAATTTTCACATGAGGATACCACTCCATTGGCTACTCTGATTAGTTTGACAAACAGGTTGTTTAGTCAGTACCAGATCCATCCAATTGGTCTCATATAGTGATTAATTAAGGCTACTATCAACAGACTCTGAGCAGAAGGATAAAGCCAATCTGTATTACTGACCTCAGTCCTGTCCCCATGGTCGTAAATTCAGTCAAGTGTAAGTCACCACCTGGGATTTAATAAGTATTTGCAGACTTACTTCATACTAGGGCCGGCCCGGTGGCGCACTGGATAAGTGCGCCGCTTGGGAAGCGCAGCGGCGCTCCCGCCCGAGGGTTCGGATCCCGCATACAGACCGGTTCCCGCTCACTGGCTGAGCAAGGCGCGGGAGCGGCGCTGAGGGTTGCGATTCCGTTGCCGGTCCCCGGTCCGGTGCGGGGGCAACACTGAGGGTTGCAATCCGTTGCCGGACACGGAAAAAGACAAAAAAAAAAAAAAAGACTTACTTCATACTAGGGCCGGCCCGGTGGCGCACCGGATAAGTGCGCCGCTTGGGAAGCGCAGCGGCGCTCCCGCCCGAGGGTTCGGATCCCGCATACAGACCGGTTCCCGCTCACTGGCTGAGCAAGGCGCGGGAGCGGCGCTGAGGGTTGCGATTCCGTTGCCGGTCCCCGGTCCGGTGCGGGGGCAACACTGAGGGTTGCAATCCGTTGCCGGACATGGAAAAAGACAAAAAAAAAAAAAGACTTACTTCATACTTACTGATCTTTATCAGTGAGTAGTATTTTTATTAGGCAGTGAGAATATAGAGAAAGACCAGTTTATTATACATTTTGACCCATGCAGGGGAGTTTTGACCTGCTGATCTGTGGTGTCATTATGGGAGCAAATAGATGGGCCATAAAGCAACCTCTGTTCCCAATGGAGAGACCTTCCATGGCCCATTTCCCCCATATATAAGCACATAAGCCCAAAGAGTTCAGGTTACTCTCATTCAGATTTATTGTCAAACCTGATTTGAATCACCATTATATAGATTTTAAGTCACCCAGATAGTGTCACCAAGTAGTTGCAGCCTCAGTTGCTGTACATGAGGCCACCCAAACATTTAGAGGAGCATGTGATCAGTCAGATTAAAAACAAGGTTGTGTTGGTCCCTGTGTTTCTGCATGTTTGCATCTGGGAGCTACCACGATGGTATCATGTACATCTTAATAAGGCATTGGGCCTCCTTTTTGGTGGGGAGGGCCATGTGTAGTTTTGGAATCAAGTATTAGAAGAGCTCTGGAGAAATAGTTAATAATAGTAGTTACTGATTTTCTACTGGGTTCCTGGCACTGTCCCAATTCTTTACATATTGTACTAATTTTTTAGGACTGCCATAACAAAGTACCACAGACTGGGTGGCTTAAAGAACAGAAAGTTATTTTCTCACAGTTCTGGAGGCTAGAAGTCCAGAATCAAGGTGTCAACAGGGTTGGTTTCCTCTAAGGCCTCTCTCCTTGACTTGTAGATGGCCTCCTTCTTGCTGTGTTCTCACATGGTCTTTCCTCTGTGTGCACATATCCCTGGTATCAATTTTTGTGTCCAAATTTCCTTTTATAAAGACACCAGTCAGATTAGATTAGGGCCCACACTAACAGCCCATTTTAATTACCTCTTTAAAGGACCTGTCTCCAAATGCAGTCATATTCTGAAGTACTGGGAGTTAGGGCGTCAACCTATGAATTTGGGGAGGGGAGACAAAATTCAGCTCACAATACCTGTATTATCTCAATAATTGCAACACCCATTTTCTCCATTTTATATATGAAGAAACAGGCTTAGTAAGGTTAAGAAACTAGCCCAATATCTCACAGCTAGTAGGTGGCAGAGCTGGAATTTGAACCAAGATTTTGTCTGGCTTCAAAGTCTGTACATTTAAGCATTAATTGTGACATGAAACTTTTTTTTCTGTAAGATAAGAACAACAATAAACAAGAAGAAAAGAGAATGTGTGGTTTATTTTCAGAGCTAATTTAAATATATTAGAAATATACCTTGATTATTCTCATGCCTAGGAATGATAAAAGAATATCATTTTGTATTATGCTAAACAATAATTTTTTTATTTGGTGATTGTCTTAAATGTGCTCACATGAAAACCTTGTACAGCTAATCATCCAGTTATATATACTATCTTTGTTCAAGGTCGGAATAATAATTTTGAATGTTAAACTGTTTTTAAACATAAAGTGTATTATTTTACCTAGGTAGATATTAATACTTTTATTCTACCTCTGTATACTATTAAAACTTAGTTTTTGTTAAAATGTTACCAGGATTATGAGTGCCACTTATTAACATAGGTGTTCAGCCTCCTTTTATAATAGAATTTTTTGTGGAGTTGGTATTTGCATGTCAGTAGTGCTAAATGTTTAATAAATCCTTGCAATAAATAATTTTCTTTGAAATTAGAAGTTTCTAATAGAGATCTTCTAAGTTTGTTTTCTTTTCACATTCTAAAAAACTTTCTACTATCATGTGGTTTACTGGCTATTTTTCTAATTCTGATAATAATAAGAAACACTTTCAAGTTTTAATTATTCCAGGAACTGTTCTGTCCTTGCAAACTGAGGGCAGTCCCTGGAATAAACTTGATTCATATAAGTAAGTGGGTTTTCCAAGAAACTCTATCTACAGCAGGTACACATTTCCCACAAAACCAGAGCAGTGTTAACATTTTTATGAGACTGACCTGCCTTTTTAATGTTGTAGACTATAAAGAAGTTTGCAGTTATTTTACATCTAGATTATCCCACCCGAGAGAAGCCTGTCTTCTCGAAGATAAAAACTCTTCTTGGACCAGGAGTTAAGTAGTTTTTCAAAACTGAATTACAAAATTCCGACAGTGGAATCCCCACAAATCCCAAAATATGAGCAGATGTGCCACCTCCACCAGTAGCAGGACAGATGCAGGATTAGCAGAAATCAGGTGCGGAGCAGCAAGAGTGAAAAGGTTACTGACAGGTCATTATCAGCTACAGTCCCCCAAACTGCTAACAAATACTTCCAAAAGGAGAGGACTCTACCTCAATGGAAATATGGATAAGCAGATTTAAGAACTAACTCATGTGCTTCACATTCCGGGTGAGTGCAAAACGCCACCATCAAGAACAAAACAAAATCAAAAAACCTCATCTGCATGTGCAAGTGTGGATGCTGGAGAACTGAATAGTACTGTGGAAATTTAAGCTCTGAAGACTATCAGAAATATTCCACAGCTGTTTCCTTCTATGAGGACTGAGCCACACTCTGGGGGTTGGGGGGTGGAGAGTGCTGGGAAAAAAAGCGAGCAGGAAGGAACATTTGGGATAAGGGAGAGGGATATTTTAGAATGGGAATGGTAAAACAATGTCATTTTGTATTAGGCTGGGGTTGACTGGAAGCCCAGTGGAATAAGCCAGGAGAATGAGATTGCTGAAAATAAATGTAATCTTGAAGACAAAGTCCATTGACCTCTAGGAAACCCAGAGCTAGAGGTAGAAAATCTTTTCAACCAGAATTGACTTTGACAACA